GGAGTAGCAGACTGTGTTTGCCTGTGACGATGCTGGAGGCGTCATGGCAGCACAGGAGATGGACAAGTTCCGGGAGCTGCAGGACGAGACCTCGCATGGAGGAGACGCCCGAGAGGACCAGCCAACGACCCCCGAGGGAGCAAGAATCGTCGGGGAAGAGGGGACCACGATTTGGAGCTCACCAGTGCTGATGGCAGGGAGAGGCCTAATGGACTTGGACTGACAAATCCCGCCAGAAGGCGGAGGCTCTTTGGCAAGTTAATGTTGTTTTGGGACCCTGGGGGAGGACTGTTTGTACACCCCCAGAGATGGGAATCTGGGGGTGGCTAGTGGGACTCAGTGGCCAAAAGCGGCCTGTGTACTGCCCAGCAGGTAGGCAGAGGAAAAAAGCCAATTTTGAGAAGGCAAAAGCTGGTGCTAAGTTGAGAAGCCCTGAGCGTCTGTTAAGCAGCCTAAGTATGCTGAAGACTAGTGAGTTTCTTAAAATCACCTGTGGGTGATGCCCTGCTCATTCTTGAGTGAGGGTGAGGAGCTGAGGAACCCGTCCTTGGGGGATGGGTGGGGACCGTGGCTTGGGGTGGAGCCCAAGCTGAAGAGGGGACCCGAGAGAGTTCACATGTAGAGTTTGGATCCCCGACCCATGTGCTTGTGCAGTGGGTTGGCCTGAGTGCAGAGGTCTGCATGTTGCATTGGTGGCTATGAAAGCCGAATGTTGGAGCGACCTCAGACAGAAATCCTGAGGTTGGCGATTACCCCCAACAGTAGAATAGAATCGCCAATCCCAGAGTAAGTGCATCCTGGGGGTGGATGTGGTGTGTGGCTTATAGCCAAGACTACAGCCAGAGAAGGCCAGGAAGCCTGATGGCTCCTGGTGTGTGACAGTAGACGCCGTGGGTGGCTCCCCCCCTCCCTTGCATGAGCAGTGCCATCGGCAGCAGATTTGGTGGCTCATCTGCTGGTGCCAATAATTGTCTTTTGCCACTAGGTTGGTGCCCTGCCTGGAATTATTTGTGTTCTGTTGTATTTTATGTATTTTGTTGTTCTATTGTGATGTATATTATTTGTTTTTTTGGGCCATGGCTGCAGTGTTCATAAGACTAAGAGAAACATATGGACTGTATGGCAGAAAACCCTGAGGGGGTGGACTGTAGGGTAAGGAAAAATATCAGGCTTTTCTGCCCTCCTGTCATTAGGATAGATGAGGGAACCCAGTGGTCCTGAATGCATGCCTGATGGTGGGCACCTGGAGTGGGTACACCTGGGCTGAGAGACTGAGTTTATAAGGGCGGCGTCACAGGGATGCCAGCAGAAGCCAAGAATGAGCAGAAGCCAAGAGAAGACGAAGAGAAGCAGAGAGAACGCCAGAGAGTGAGGATTTGCTGGGGGCTAGGAGGACTGCCAGCTTCCCAGCCCCCCAGCACTCCTGCCTGCCATATGCCTGGTAAATCTACTCCTCCTTTACGTGGTCTGCTGGATCATAGAAAACCTGCTCTGTGGCCTGTCCTGCCCTCTACAATAGGTTTTTGAGTGTTTGGACCATGATGATCGTCTGTCTTCTGGGGAGCTGAAATCCAATGAGGGACACAGGCCTCCGGGTGGTCTGCCCAATGTTGCCAGTCAGGACTCGCTCCAGAATGATTTCAGCAAAAAAAGAAATTGATTGACTCATAATGGTTTCAGGCATCGCTAGATCTAGGTGCTCCAAGGATGTTGTCAGCCTCCATTTCTTTAATGACGACTTTATTCTTAGGTTCCTCTCATGGAGACAAGAAGCTTTGGAAACTCAGCTTCACATGCTCTCAGATTCCAGGCTAAATGAAAAGAGTACTTGTCATTCAACCAACATTCCCAGCAAGTTTCATTGATTCTCTTTAGTTTGTGGCTGGGTGACCCAATCAGAGCCAACCACTATGGTCAGGGAGGTAAAATGGCCTGGGTCTCCACAGATGGAGCCTACTCCATCCAAACCATATAGACTAAGAGGAGGGATGAGTGATTCTCAAAAGGAAACTTGAGTTTACTGCCACAGAGGAGGATGAATGAATGACAGGGCAGTAGAACTATAAATATCTACCTCCACAGTTAAAAGGAGAGAGAAAATTCACCTTCATTTTAGATGGCATACTTCTATTAATGCAGGTGAGGATCACATTTGTTACCTCATACTGATGACATCAGATTTGCAGGGTTTTTTTCCCTCACCCAATGCAGCTTCGTTTCATTTCTCTACCTCCTGCTCCCTCCCTCTCTCTCCCTGCTCCCCCTCCTCAACCTGTGAGGCATGCAGTCATGAAAAAGTCCTGCCACTCCACCCTTGTCCCAAGCACAGCGGTGCTTTCTGGGGCACAGAGACAAGCAGAACTAGGCCCAGGCCTCCTTTTCCTTTACAGAGCCAAAGTGATCCAGAGAGACAGCTTAGGCCCAGAGACAAATTTTACTGCCTACATGGGTGGCCCAAACCCAGGGTTAGATTCAATATTTTTCAGGATAAAAACATGTCTTTTTGTTACTTCATAGAACTGGATTCTTCCCCCTGAATGGACAAGTGACCATCTGATTCATTAGGAACCAGGAATTTTGCGTATAATGTGTATGCATATGTAAATAACAACAAAATCTGCCCACTTCCCGAAGAGCAACCCATCACAGACACAGCTAGATTACTGAGACGTTGACTCCCAAACCAGAGAATGTTTGCATGTGACCCTGGAATTTTATTGAGTTGTCGGAAAAACCATGATGCTTTATTGCATAGAAAAAATATCTCTCGGGCCTTCCAGGTGGCGCAGCGGTTGAGCGCTGGGTTGCGAAGCTGCCTGTAGCCTCTGCAGCACCGGTTCGATCCCCGGCTGCTCCCCGGCCACCAGAGGAGGGTCCCACATGGCGCGCAGGCCTCTCCTGCCACCCGCTGCTCCCCTCAGCAGTGTACTTCGGTCCTTCTGCCTGCTCTGCTCCCCGCTCTGGCTCTGGTGAATTCTCTCACCCTCCCGCGCTTCTGACTATACCCAGTGCTTGTATAAATAAATAAATCTTAAAAAAAAAAAAAATATGGGGCCTCCCCTGGTGGCGCAGCGGTTGAACGCTGGGCTGCAAAGCTGCCTGCAGCCTCTGCAGTGCCGGTTCGATCCCCGGCCGCTGGCGAGGGTCCCACATGGTGCAACAGACCTCTCCTGCCTGCTGCTCCCCTCAGCATTGTATTTTGTCAGTCTGCCTGTTCTGTTCCCTGCTCTGGTGAATTCTCTCACCCTCCCGCCTGCTGCTCTCCAGTCTGCCTGTTCTGTTCCCTGCTCTGGTGAATTCTCTCACCCTCCCGCACTTCTGACTATACCCAGTGCTTGTATAAATAAATAAATCTTTAAAAAAAAATGTCATGACTTTTCCAACAGCCCAATAGTGTATTACTTTCATTTTATAATCAGTCCTAACATGCGGAGGGGAGTGTTGGGAGGGGATGCTGATTCCCTCCATTTGTTCCTTTGACAAATATTTATTAAGCACCTACTGCAAACTTGGCCCTGTGCCCAGGGCTGATGGCACATTTCCAGGCAATGGCTGCTCTTGGAGGTTTCAGCAGCAGGCTGGGGTAAGGGTGGGGCTGGACACGGATCACATTAGTCTATACACATTATGAACATGGAAAGTGCAGGGAAAGAAAAGAACAGGATGTTACCAGCATGTTTTCCAGGCATCCTCACTGATCTCGGGGTCAGGTAGGCGGCCCAGAAAAAGTGACGTCTGGGCTGAGCTGTGAGGACCTTACAGTAAATGCTGCAAGGACAGCCTGTCCTCTAGCTGCCTCCTTGGTAAATTCCCCGCTGCAGCAATCTGCATTCCCCGAGCCTGCCAGGAACCTTCCAGTAACTCTTTGCCCTCTTCCCATGACTCATTTATTCCGAGGATGATGATCCAAGACCCCTTAGCTCCTGCCAAACATGTGGCCAATGGCAGGGAAGTAGGATCCGTTCAGGCAGGATCCCCCACAAAGGAATTTGGACACCACCCTGCTCTTCTGCTCAGCATCCACTGAGGAAGAAAGTTCTTGGGGGTTTTCCTTTCCCAGGTGAAGCCAACTTTCTAACTAGCTACTTCCTCCCCAGGCTGGACAACAACTCTTTCACCAACCCCTGCCTGGCCAGACCTTCTCACCCTTGGGGCAAGTCTCTTCCCAGGCTGAATAGGTCTCCTCCTCTCTGCTCCCCTGCCTCAGCACACCCTCCATCCTAGCCCTGACCCGGGTATCACTTCTCCCTTTGCACTCATGAGGCTGCCCCCATAATTATGAGTTTCCTGGGACAAACTTGTGGTTTCTTGAGCCTTATCCTCCCCAGTTGAGGATGTCCAACCATCAAAGGCATTCAGCATCCTCTGGCCGCTCTTATTTGAATCACCAGGGGCTGCTACTCAATAGCTCTGTGACCTTGGACAAGTTAATTAACCACTCTGGGCCTCCATTTTAGCCTCTCTAAAATGAGAGTAATGGACAGTCCTTACTTCGCAGGGTTGTTGGGGGATTAAATCAGCTCTGGCCCAGCGCATCACCCCTTATGACGCTCACCATCATACTAAATAAGGCACTCAACATATGTGTGTCATGAGTGACCACCCCGTGGATTTGATGCCACGCTACACAATTACTACGTTTTGACATGTTGACATCTGTCCTCACTTCCAACCTCCTTTTGTTTATTTTTTTCAGCCCTACCAGGATCCCCAAGACCCTTTTACACCCGGCTCTCTAATCACTCAGGCTAGAGTACAAGGGGCAGAGCTGTGCACACAGCAAAGGGCAGCAGTTTGCTCAGCGCACGGCCCAGCTCTGCACTCGCTCCTCCGGTACCGAGGGGGCAGCAGAATGCACGCAGGGCGGCTTCTGGGAATTGGTGCCCGATGGCCAGTGCGCGCCCGCGGTGCGCCCGGCGCTGCGCTCGGCCCGGTGTGCCGTCCGCTGCCGGTGACTCACCGCGCGGGGCGTGCGCTGGCGGCGCCCGGCGGGGCCGGGCTTTTGCACCCGTCCCGGCGCAGTTCAGCTATAAAAGCAGCCCGCCGCGTGCTCCGCTCCACCACGCCTCCTCCAAGTGCTACCTGTTCCTTCAGCATCCGTCTGCAGACTCGTCTAGCCGCCTCTGCTCGTCATGGATCCCAACTGCTCCTGTGCCATCGGTAGGAGATACCAGTTTGCAGAGCTTGCGAAGCAATTTCTGACCGCTCTTCCTCTTCCTAATGACTCAGTTCTGGAAACGACCCCTTTCCTAAGCGCTTTGGTGTACCTTTCACTAGGTTAAGCAGAGGCCCTGTCTTACAGACGAAAAGTTCAGTTCATGTCTTACCCAGGTTCCAGGAGTCCGTGCAACTGAGACTGGAGCCCCGGCTCCTGGTAACCATTCCAGCTTTCTAGTCCCCAGGGACTGTTCTCACCTCTGCCTTTCTCCTTACAGGTGGATCCTGCTCTTGCGCCGGCTCCTGCAAATGCAAAGAGTGCAAATGCACCTCCTGCAAAAAGAGTAAGTAGAATCCTCTGGTCATCTACTCCCTAACCACTCCTCCGCCAAGTCTCCGGTCGGCTACCCCACCTCCAAACAGCGTGACTGGTGCCTCTTCCTCAGGGAATGCAGCACCCCACTGTGTCCCGCCGAGAATCCCTATTCATTCTTTGTCCTCAGCGCTCATCTCTGATATCGCCTTCCCTTCCCCAGGTTGCTGCTCCTGCTGCCCCCAGGACTGTGCCAAGTGCGCCCAGGGCTGTGTCTGCAAAGGGGCATCGGACAAGTGCAGCTGCTGTGCCTGAGCTTGGAGAGACTGCTCCAGATGTAAATAGAGCCATGTGTCCAAACCTGCATTTTTTTTCGAACGACCTGACCCCTTTCCTACATTCCTTTTTCTATGAAATATGTGAAAGATAATAAATGTTGTTCACTTTATGCTGGCTCTGTTTTACTTTGCATGTTTTTGACATAAGGGACCTGTGCCACATGTTGTTTTGATGAGATGTGGAGTTCAGGGTTTTGGGTTCTAGGGTTACCTCTGAGAAAAGTTTTGGCAGAGTTCCCCTGTTTCCCAAATAGACAAAGATATTTGGTTCTATCCACAAAGGTTAGGTTTACTAGGAAAAAGGAGGGGAGAAGATAACGCTTGCACAGACAACAGCAGGCAGAAAGAACTGCATTTTGCCAGTGCAGAAATTGCACTGATGGAGTGTTCTTTTGGGGAGGGGTTCATTTCTTTGTGAAATTGTTACTATTGTTAAATTGACCACTTTTAGGGTGTTGTGTTAATTTGCAAGGACCCGGGAGCCTCTATAATAAATGGCCCTCAGTCTTCATGTCCTACCTCTACTCAGCCCCTACAGATATTTTCTACAGCAGTTTGCACCCAGGATTTCCTGTGCCTCAGGATTTTTTTTTTTTTTTCATTTCTGAATTCTACCCCCTGCCTCCAGTTTCTGGTCCTGTAACACCACTGTCCCAAAATTTCTACTCTAAGCCTCCACCAGTGTGCACCAAGGCTGGGGTGGGGATTTGCACCTGAAGGGCATAGGTCTGGACTCCAGAGAGCCTGTTGCGTTGACAATACAACACTGACAAATGGGAGTCGTGGAGCAAGCTGTTGGATTCAGAATGGTGCTGAAGAGCAAGATCCTGATCTTTTTATTGATAGAATAATCATGCAGCATCAATTGTGAGGGGAAGGAAGGCAAAAAGAAGAGGGAGGGGTGAAGCTAGAAAATGTGCTCTGTCATCTATAGTATCAGGGGTCATGAGTCTGCCCTCCAGGCACTTCTCATCTGCTTGATGACTGTGTTGTAATTGAGATCAAGCCCTAGGTTCTCAGCCATGGTTTCAATCTTATCAACAAGACTTCTCACTGATCAGCTTCTGAGGTCCCTTGTCATACACAGGTCCTTGGGCCCCCAGGCGGACGTTCCTGGTCATACCTCGTGATGCACAGCTTTCCCAGGGTGATCAAACTTTTTGCTCTTGGTTGATTTGAAAGGCATCTTATAAGGTTGGGCTCCTATGACTGATCAGGCACTTCTGACCTTGTATGGAATGCAAGGTCAGGTAACAAAAAATTGTGGCCAAAAAGGCCACTTAGGATTAGCAGACCCACACGATCACCTTTGAGACTCTGTGCCTGAAAGCAGATCAGGTTATCTTTCTGAGATTTCCCTGATCTCCATGATATCTATAATATAGTTTTTAAAGGTTAGGCCCAGGGCCTCCCCTGGTGGCGCAGGGGGTTGAGCACTGCTTTGTGAAGCTGTCCGCAGTCTCTGCAGCACTGATTCGATCTCGGCCGGCTGGCGAGGGTCCCACATGGCACGGCAGACCTCTCCTGTCTCGCTCACTGCTCCCCTCATAGGTGTATTTCATCAGTCTGCCTGTTCTGTTCCCTGCTCTGTCTCTGGTGAATCCTCTCACCCTCCCACGTATTTGGCCTGTACCCCGGTTCTTGTATAAATAAATAAATAAATATTTTTAAAAATAAATAAATTAAGGTTAGGCCCAAAGCTATAAAGGTCTAGGGCAGATAAGAGATTCTCTCTATTCTCAAGACAACTGTTGGTGCTGAAACATCTCCAGAATTTTCATTCCCATGATTTCATTCCCAGCTTCACTTCTTTACTAGATTTTGTTTTTTAAGATTTATTTATTTTTATATAAGAACTGGGGTACAGGTCAGAGGCATGGGAGGGCGAGAGGATTCACCAGAGACAGAGCAGGGAGCAGAACAGGCAGACGGACTGAAATACACTGCTGAGGGGAGCAGTGGACAAGACAGGAGAGGTCTGGTGTGCCATGTGGGTAGCTCCCTGGCCAGCCGGGTATTGAACTCATGCTGCAGAGGCTGCAGATAGCTTTACAGTGCTGGAGGAAGGAGATACAAGATCGAGAAGCTAACTCACACAAGGAGGTAGGGGTAGAAGGGATTAGCGTAATCCATTAACCCAGTTGTGGAAACTAAGACCCTTAGGCATCAACACCCAGATCAGGAGGCCCAACACCCAGAAACTATCGGACTGCTATAGAGAGTGTCAACGGCACAAACCATCCACCTACAAAGATGACTCCCTCCCTGAAGATGATAAAACCTATTGCAGCCCTCACAACGGGCAGCACTCCCACTTCTCACATGTAACTATGCAGGTGCCTCTTTTTACCAGCTCTCTCCCTCTGCAGGGCAGCAGCTTTCTGGCTGCCCATGACCTGTACCAGGCTGGGACTTCACTGACTTCCCTCAGCAGGACAGCTCTCTTCAAGGCCACCCACCTGCAACCATGCAGGCCTCTCTCAACAAACCTGTCCCTTTCAGGGCAGCTCTTCCTGCCTGTTTGTGTCTATGCAAGTGTCTTTTACTGTCCTATCCCTTTTCTAATAAACATGCTCTTTAAATATAACTACTTTCTCTGCCTCGTGGAGAACCTCGCCTGGAAAACTTACCGCATGCCGCCGAAACAGCAGCTCTGGTGACACCTTTCCCAGAGTGAACCCAAGGACCCCGCACTAACTCCAAAAACCTCCTCAACAGTGCTGTGCTTAACCCCTTGAGCCACCAGAGAGACCCTAAATCTGAGATTTAAAATGCTCTTCGCATGTCCACCCAGGGAGTGTACTGAACAATGGAAACAATTCAGAAAGCAATGTGAGAGTGGGGAACACAGATATTTGAGTAGTCAGTCCTGTCCTCGACACCCCTCTAGAGCCCTCACCTTGGCTTGCTCAGTAACCCTAACAGGACTCTCAGCTCTCCCACACCCAATCCCAGCTCCCTGTGACTTAGCTCTGAATCTGTGCAAGCTCTTTCCCAGGTATAGCTGATGCCCCCTTTCAAAATCCAACCCCGGGCTGCTTGAAACTGTCAAAGTGACTGGATGTTTGGAGGGAATGCCCTGCCATTTCTCAGCAAGAGGGAGTGTGAGTGAGAATTGGTTCCGGATGAAGCATTTCATGTCTGTCTGTTCAGGGAGATGGCAGATTCTGAGTTTGGAGGACTAGGTGGTGATTATTGGGCGGGAGTGAAACAAGAATAACTTGTAATTAATGCCAACGGTTAGTCCCTCTGGGTATCTGCTAAAGTAATTGCTATTTGATGTTCAATCAAAGGAAGACCAGTGACTTGGCAGCGGAGTTAGGTCTTTGCTGGCATGCAGGTACCTTGTGTGAAGAGGGAATTTTGGAAGTCAGCCTGTGCCAAGAGCATAGTTTTGGCCTCAGGCCATCCTGGCTCAGAGCCTACTTGGTCACTTCCTAACCTTATGACCTGGGCAAGTGCCTCCACTTCTCTCTGTTTTCCCATTTGAAAAAAGTAAGATTCTCTCTCCATTAGATAAAGTTGTGGCTAGGGCTTCATGAGCAGTAGCTACCATGACATTCTTTTTTCTTTTTTTTTAAAGTTTTTTATTTTTATTTATACAAGAACTGGTGTACAAACCAGAGGCAGGGGAGGGTGAGAGAATTCATCAGAGACAGTGGGTTGCAGAACAGGCAGAAGGACTGAAATACACTGCTGAGGGGAGCAGCGGGCGAGACAGGAGAGGTCTGCTGCACCATGTGGGTATCTCCCTGGCCAGCCGGGAATCAAACCCATGCTGCAAAGGCTGCGGGCAGCTTCACAGAGCTGTGCTCAAACTGCTGCACCACTGGAGAAGCCCTACCATGATATTCTGTTCAAGGTGATTTTCTAGAGAATTCCAGCAAGCTCCTGGAGAAAGGCTCATTGGTTTGGAGGCACTGCTCTTGGCTAGAGGTTAATGTTGAGAGAGAAAAAAATTATATCTGGTGCCAGGGCATGTGTGGACCCCCTGCAAATAGCTCCCAGGGGCAAGATGTCAAACAACATTTGAACAGAAAGCTTTCCCATCTTTCTGTCAATTATCTGCTCAGGGACCAGAAAGAGAGCCTGACTGACCATGTGTGGACTGGTGTTGTAACAGGGTGCTCTCCAGGAAAAGGGAAGGTTCCAGGTTCCCTGTCCCACTAAAGGAAGGGTGGAACTGAGCAGGGAGGAGGTGAAGCTGGAGAGGAGGAAGGAAAGAAGAAAGGATGGAGAACAAGAAGGAGACCGGGAGGAGGCACATGGAGCAGAGAGAAATGTGAAGAAACTGCTCTTGCTTCTTGGTCCTGGCTGGTAGAAACAGATGTGGGTGAGAGACCCAGGGTTGGGGAGGGAGGTTAACAATGGTAGGGTTTTCTTGATTTTGATTTTGCTCTTTTTTTTCTTTTTAAGATTTATTTATACATACAAGAGCTGGGGTGTAGGCCAGAGGCATGGGGGGTGACAGGATTCACCAGAGACAGAGTGAGGAGCAGAACAGGCAGATCTACTGAAATACACTGTTGAGGGGGGCAGCGGGCAACACAGAAGAGGTCTGCTGTGCCATGTGGGTCATCTCCCTGGCCAGGGATCGAACTCATGCTGCAGTGGCTTCATAGTGCTGAGACTTAACCCCATGTGCCACCAGGGACGTCCCCTGATTTTGCTCTTTTTTAAAAAAAAACATTTTATTTATTTATACAAGAACTGGGGTACAGGTCAGAGGCATAGGAGGGTGAGAGAATTCACCAGAGACAGAGTGGGAACAGAACAGGCAGACGGACTGAAAGCACTGCTGGGAGGAGCAGTGAGCAAGGCAGGAAAGGTCTGTTGCACCATGTTGGTTTCTCCCTAGCTAGCTGGGAATTGAACCCACACTGCAGAGGCTGCAGAGGCTGTTGACAGCTTCACAGTGCAGTGTTCAACCCTCTGTATCACCTGGGAGGCCTTGAGAGTGCTCTTTTCTTGCCAGACTTATGTGGCTGTTTCTGACCCTTTTCTATAGGGCCCTGCTGGAAGGTGCTTTAGACCTGTGGCAGGCTTTCAGGCCTCAGTGGCCCTGCTTGGGCCAACCCTATTTGGCTGGGCATTTATTTACCCATGAGAGGAGAGGTAATTTCAGGTGCTTGATTTGGAAACTTTATTCTTTGTTTTCTTGTTGCACACTAAGGCCTTATGTTTTGTCTTAATGTGGTAGGCGGCAGAACCTATTTAGAGCTGGCAGGTTTGGGGGTGTTGGGGTGCCCCTCACCCTTTCAGAGAGATGAAACCACCTGCCCAATGTATAAACAGACCTGTGCAATAGCTGACTTTATCCCTGGCCAAAGTTGGCAAATCAAAATGTCACTGGATGCTCAAACCTTCTTGGTACAGCTAAAGATGGAAGCCATGGATCAAGGGCGTCTCTCATTTAACTGAAGCCCAGAAAGGCAGCAGGGCTCTGTAGAGGTTGCTGAAGCCCGCTCTGTGCTCTTCCCATGGCTGCCTCTGTGCCAGCTTTCTGAAGGGTGGAAGGAGAGGGCATGATGTGGCAAGCAGCCTGCATGGGTGCAAATCCACCTGTGTCACTTACACCTGGGTGACATGACCTCTCAGTATTCACTCTCTGACTGTTAGAGAGGCAAACAAGGGTGTCTGGTTCATAGGATTAAACAATTTAATATATGGGAAGAACTTAGATTGATGCCTGGGACAGAGTGAGTAGCTGTAATGAGAACTGTTATTGCATTATTAACATGCACAGCATAGGAGACTTTTTTTTTTTTTTTTTTTGCTTCTAGACATAAGACAGGTCTGGTGTGCTTAACTGTGTGTCTGTGTTGTCCTCATCAACCATGTGAGCATGTGGCCACTTGCACAGAGATTTAGCCTCTCTTTTCCTAAATTGGGCATCAACTTGGGGATAGAACACAGGAGCAGGACACCCCACATCCTAATCACACTACAGAAGGATGCCTGCCATTTCTACTCCATCTGCATCAGCATTTGATGAGCATTTAAAAAAACAATTTATGGGCCTCCCTGGTGGCGCAAGGGGTTAAGCACAGCACTATGAAGCAATCTGCAGCCTCTGCAGCACGAGTTCGATCCCCAGCCAGCCAGGGAGCAACCCACATGGCACAGCAGACCTCTCCTGACTTGCCTGCTGCTCCCCTCAGCAGTGTATTTCCATCAATCTGCCTGTTCTGTTCCCCACTCTGTCTCTGGTGAATCCTCTCACCCCCCACATCTCTGGCCTTTACCCCAGCTCTTGTATGCATAAAGAAATAACTCTTTTAAAAAAATAATTTATATTTTCTAGATATATTTCTGTATGTGAAATCACTACTGGACAGGAGGCTCCATTTTCTCCCAGACATGGAAGGTAAACACAAAAGCACAATACATTCCTCTTGTGTCATTTTGTCCCTCTCAGGCTTGATTGGGCTGTAGAGGTGTTGAAACCACACCTGGGCTCGCAGGAAGCCCACTTTGACTTTCCCTTTCCCTTAGGAAGTGACTAGAATCAGCTCCATCCCTAGCTCTGTGACCTGGTCTCTACTTAACTCCTTCCGGTGTATGTGGTTTTGCCTTTGGGAAACAGCTCATAAACAGGATTTCCCTTTAGGGTTGTTGCTATGGTTCGAAGAATAAAAACAGTTAATATAGGGCTGCACTGAGTGAACGCTATATAATTGTAAGTTATATTGAAATAATCACTTTCTCAGCTTTGTGATTTAATGAGAAGTCTGCCTATCACCTAAAATTATCCCTTCTGTGGGATAGAGATGGGGAGCAATCCCATGTTTTGGGACCCTCTATCACTGAGTGGGGTGCACCGGCTGGGTAGGAGGAAACCCCTGCAAAGTCAGGGAAAGAAGCAAGTGGGTAAGTGTGCCCTTGCGCGTTCAACTCTGACCCACAACTCCCAGGTGCAAGTCATGGGTAAAGTACAGGAGGGTTGCACACGGCTCAGAAAAAGGACAAGGGCGGGGGTGGGGTGTTGGGGGGGTGCTGGGCGGTGGGGTTGGGCCGGGTGCTGACCTGACCAAGATAGCGAGCACACCGGGGCTTATTTCCCGGAACGCCGGGACTAGGGGTGGTCGGGAGGTGGGATAATTGAGAAAGGCTGACGAGGAGATGGACACCGGCGGGTCACCTGACCCACAGCCAGTTGGCGCGAGCAGGTCCCCCGGGGGCGGCCACGCCACGCTGACATTGCACAGGGCACCTAGGAGGGCCGTGCGCCCGGCGCGGCGGGTGCACTCAGCCGGGTTGTGGGGGGCGCGGGGGGGGGGGACGGGCACCGTGAACTCTGCTCCGCTGAGCCGGCGGGCGGGGCGGGGCCTTTGCGCCCGGGACGCTGCCTCTGGCTATAAAGATTGGTCGCCGCGGCTGGGCTCTATCTTGCCTTCCTCCAGCCCAAGCGCTTCTTCGTCTCTTTTTTGCACCTCCAGGCTCACCTCAGCGAGAAATGGACCCCAACTGCTCCTGCACTGGTAAGAGCGGCTGACTCTGGGGTCTGGGACGCTGTCTGCAAGGAGCGTGTCTCTGGGGTGGAGAAGGGGCCTTTTGAGATTGAGAAGAGTTGGGCTTTAGTCCCTGCAGGGCTTTCTTCCCAGTCAACCTGCCGAAAGCCTTTCGGTCGTCTCTATGCCTCTTTTTAAAGTTCAGAGTAACCGGGGCTCAAGGCTGTGCGTCCCCTGCCACTCTGCAGGTGGGTGGGCTGCTGGACCCAGTGCTCTGTCCAGGCCACAGAGCTGCCAGCATCTGATGAGAGGTGGGCTGCCGCCAGCTCCACTCTGCCTGGGCTGGATCCTGTCTCCTTCCTAGTGAAGCAAAAACAGGAGGATATGTACCTTTCCTGGTAGGAGAGAAGGAAGGTGGGGCTCCCTCAGTCTGCCCTAAATGGGACTGGAGCTTCAGCCCTGGAGCAACCAGGGCTGGACCCTGATTAGGACATTGCTGGCACATTTGAGGCCACCCTGCTGTATCTCATCACCCGCATCTCCCCCGCCTGTCTTTCCTCCATGAAGGTGGCTCCTGCAGCTGTGCCGGCTCCTGCAAATGCAAAGACTGCAAATGCACCTCCTGCAAGAAGAGTGAGTGTGGGGCTTCGTGGGGACCCTGGAGGCTGGGCTGAATCACAGGAGGGGACCTAGAGCTCAGTGGGCAGGAGCTTCCCTCTGCACCTGAATCAGAATCAGAACTGAAAGAGCCATAGAGATGGTTGTGTCCCAGTCTCTCATAGAACAGGGAAACTGAGGCCCAAGGGGCCACCTAATAGTGTCAAAAACAGAAACAGAACTAGAATGAGGTCTTCTGCCTCCTGAAAAGCCACCTGAACCCTCTAGTGTTTTAAAGCACTTTATGCACCTGAACTTGGTGACCACACGTGTGTTCTCTGGCTCGCTGGTATAGCCCTTTTGTATGGAGGCAGCCAGAGCCTCCCTGACCCTCTTGGGACCTGTGCTGTCTGGAGTTTGCCCTTCTCTCATCTTCAGGACTTTCTTCACTTTGCATGGTACTAGGGAGCCACTCTCCTTCCCCAGGGGCCCTGTCACTGTTTCCAGGCTTTCTGTGTGTCCTGAGATTAGGTGGAACAGGTGTTGGAGGGCAGGACCTTTGGGAATGGTCTCAGGACAGGGCATGCACCCTCTATTCAGTCCCCCAGGGCTGGGGCACAGCTGGTGCCAGGCCTGAGGTGGGAAGAAACCAGCCCAGGTGCTGTCTGCTCTGCCTTCTCACTCTGCCCTTTCTTCCCCAGGCTGCTGCTCCTGCTGCCCCCAGGGCTGTGCCAAGTGCGCCCAGGGCTGTGTGTGCAAAGGGGCATCTGACAAGTGCAGCTGCTGTGCCTGAATTGGGGGACCCCCAGCTCCCAGATGTAAATCGAGCCACATGTACAAACCTGCTTTTTTTTATTCCACCTCTTGCCCCATTCCCCACATTCCTTTTTCTATGAAATATGTGAGTGATAATAAAAGTTGTTGATTTTATTATGATTGTTTTCGCTTCTGTGCTTTGGAAATAAGAGACATTGTGCTAATAGGACGGGGAGGGGGGAATCACTGGGGATTCACTGTCAGACTGCAGTCCTCAGTGGATAGTGAGCTTCAAACTTCAGAGGGAATAGAATCCAAGTCCCCACTTGTTTGAATTCAACACAGGACTTGCTTTTCAACACTGTGGTTGAAAAGCCAAATATAAACATTCAAAGATACAAACTTTCATAAAAATAAGTGAATGACTGTATACGTGTTTGTTCAGGGTGCATTGACCATTCGCAAATTAGTAAAACAATTCAGAAACTAGTTCCAGTGTGTATGTGGGGGGGTGCTTTTACCTTACCTTGGGTAGCTCTGCTCCCCAACATCCCCGCAAGGAACCCATCACCTTGGCTTGCCTAGTGCCCCTGACAGGATACCCTCTCCCGCAATAGCTCTCGGTCAGGATAAAATAAGGTTTTTGTTCAAAATCCAGCTCTGGGCTACTTGAAATCAGTAAAGTGACCAGTGGGATTTGGAGGACATGCTATTTCTCAGTAAGCACTGTCTCAGATGAAACACTGTGTCAGATGTGGGTGGATCCAGCCATTTGGAGATTGTGCTGGCATTTTAGGCAAGATGAGGTCTTGAGTGACTTGTTTGGTTCCCCTGGCCACTTGTTGAGGAATTGCTATCTGATGTTCAGTCTAGGAGAACACAAGTCGCATGGGCCGGGATTCCACCACCCCAGCCACAGGGTCCATATGTGGTGGGGAATCTCAGAAGCCAGATGTGCTGAAAGCATCGGTTTTGGTGTCAGGATTCCTGGTTCCCAGCCCATTTCCCAATAGGCCTCTGGAACCGGGTAATTGTTGACACTGTCAGACTCTCATTTTCCCAGTAGTAGAATGAATGAAATAACGGCACAGCTCCTAACGAGGGCCTCCTGGCAGAGGCCATTGTGATTGGAGGTTGACGCTGATCTCTGAGGATGATTTCTACCTGCCATCAGCACCCTGGGGGAAGGATTAATGGTTTGGAGACATTGCTCAGTTTAGAGGGGTGAGATGGGAATGGAACCTTGATGTCCAGTGTCAGGGAGAGTGTGACTGTCTTCCTGCCATCAGCCTCCCAGGACAGACACATCGCAGCAGTGGACAGATGCAGAAGCTTTACCCACCCTTCAAGTCATTTGATCTCCATAGAGACCAGATGTGGAGTTAACAAGCAAGGACTGAACCGAATATTTCAGAAGGTTAATCATCCTGGCCATAGTCAGTCAGCTCACAGTCAGAGGTCTGAAGCAATCCAGAGCTGATCTCACTCTGTTCCGACCGCAGACTGATGAATTGGATGCCACTGGTGCTAAATCAGATCTCATTATTCAGATCAGAAGAGTGCTTTGAGGGCCTCCCTGGTGCCACATGGGTTAAGTCTCAGCACTATGAAGCTATCAGCAGCCACTGCAGCACAAGTTCAATACTCTGCCAGGGAATTGACCCACATGGCATAGCAGACCTCTCCTGACTCGCCTGCTGTTCTCCTCAGCAGTGTATTTCAGTCAATCCACCTGTTCTGCTCCCCACTCTGTCTCTGGTGAATCCTCTCACCTCCCGCACCTCTGGTCTACACCCCAGTTCTTGTGTGCATAAATAAAATAAATTAAAAAAAAAAAGAAGAATGTTCTTTGAGATGATCAGCTGTGCTCTTGAATAGTGGATACAGATGCCCATCAAGGCCATAGGAATTTGAGGAGGGAGCTAAAGGCAGCTCATTTCTCCTCCCACAGCTTCCTCTGTGCCAGGTTTCAGCATCCTCACCTTTGTGTGAACTCATGGTGGGGGGGGGGGTGGAGGATGCAGGTGGATGCTCAGGCAGCCTGTGTGGGGGCCAGTCCACCCTGTCTTACAGTTGCCTGACAACCACTCAGGGCTCTCACTGTACAAAGGACTAAAAAATGAGAGTCTGGCTCTTGGGATCCAATGCAGGAAGACCTTTTTTTTTTTTAAGATTTATTTATTTATGCATACAAGAGCTGGTGGGTATAGGCCAGAGGTGCAGGCGGGTGAGAGGATTCACCAGAGACAGAGTGGGGAACAGAACAGGCAGATGGACCGAAGTACACTGCTGAGGGGAGCAGTGGGCAAGTCAGGAGAGGTCTGCTGTGCCATGTGGGTTGTTCCCTGGCCGGTGGGGGATCGAATTCATGCTGCAGAGGCTGTAGATTGCTTCATAGTGCTATACTTAACCCCTTGTGCCACCAGGGAGGCCCCTGCAGGAAGACATTTAAAGAATTTAGATGGATGCCTGCTATAGTGAGTGACTGTAATAGCAACTGCTACTGCATTATCAGTAATAGCATAGGAGACATTTTAATATTTCCTGGTTGGTGAGCCTAGCTGTGTGACCTGTGCTTTATTGAGACCAGTTTCCCAGAGAGAATTATTCTTTCAAATGAATGAATAAATGAATGAATAAATACAGGATATATCATCAAGACAGTTGGTGTCCTCAGGACAGTCCAGAAGAAAGCCTGCCATATCTACTCTCACCTGCACCAGTATTTGGACATTTTCTTTAAACAATTCATATTTTCTAACAATTCATTACTGAGAATGTGGATCAATTTATTTCCAGAGATGGCTGATACAAAATCACAGATATATTCCTTTTTAAAATTTTTTTTAAATAATTGAAATTTTTTTTTTACATCATTGTTCATTTTTAGACAATATTTGCTTCCCCCTACCCCCTCAGGTGTAGTCCCCACAGAGTTTCCTTCACCGGTGCACCCGTGCACCATCACCTCAGTCCCCTGTGCTCCTCCCTCTCTCTATCCCTCTTCCTCCTGCAGGATGTCTCTGATTTATAATTGTCCATTTTTGCTTTGTTGTGTTTTGTACTGTTAATATTTTTTTACACTGATGTCTTATTGGGTTCCCCTATATTCCTGCTGTAAGTGAAACCATCCGATATATTTCTTTTTCCTTCTGGCTTAGTTCACTGAGCATAATTCCTTCTAGCTCCATCCACATTGCTGCGAATGGCATGAGTTTCTCTTTTTTGATTGCTGAATAATATTCCATGGTATATATAGCACATCTTCTTGATCCAGTCATCTATTTTTGGACATTTGAGTTGTTTCCAGGTTTTAACTATTATAAATAGTGCTGCACAAAATCACAGATATATTCCTTTTGTATCACTTTTGTCCCAACCAGATTTGAACTTGACACAACAGGGGCATTGAAGTCACACTGGGCCAAAAGGAATTCTCTTTGACTTTCTCTTTCCTCCTTCACAAGTCATCAGCTCCAGTTTTCACACTATAAACGGAGTTGTTTTTTTTTTAAGATTTATTTATTTACACAAGAACTGGGGTACAGGCAGTGTACCCGGCACTGGTACAGACGCGGCAGTGTGAGAGAACCAGAGACAAGGCAGGGAGCAAAAGAGGCAGACAACCGAAAACTCCACTGAGGGGAGCAGCGGGTGAGACAGGAGAGGTCTGCCTCACCATGTGGGTATCTCCCTGGCAGGATGGGATTGAACCCGCTCTGCAGAGGCTGCAGACAGCTTCACAGCACTGTGCTCAACCCGCTGTGCCACTGGGGAGGCCCTGAACTGAGTTCTTTAACTCCTTACTTAGTTCCGCCTTTTGAAAAGGGACTCATAAAGAATATTTCCCTTCAGGGCCTGAGCGCTGGGCTGTGAAGCTGCCCGCAGCCTCTGCAGCGCAGGTTCGATCCCCTCCCCCCAGCGAGGATCCCACATGTGCAGACCTCTCCTGCCACCCGCTGCTCCCCTCAGCAGTGTACTTCGGTCCTTCTGCCTGCTCTGCTCCCCGCTCTGGCTCTGGTGAATTCTCTCACCCTCCCATGCTTCTGACTGTACCCACTGCTTGTATAAATAAATAAATCTTTAAAAAAAAATATTTCCCTTCAGGGTTGTTTTTATAGTTCAAAGAGTGAAAGTGATTAAAACAGGGCGTGACATGACCAGGTGTATGTAATCTAGCCAGGTACCTGCAAAGGAAACGACCGCTCTGTACATTGAGCAACACCGGGTCTGCCTATCACCCCAAAGGATCTCATCCCTGGGGCATATCCTGGGTTATGGGAACATCTGTCTCCTGGAGTGGGGTAGGCTGTGGGAGGCCCCTGGGAAGTATAGGCAAAGGAGGACCCAGATAAATGTGCCAATATATACCTTAAGAGGTGTAAGGAAGGAAGGAAGGAGAAAGGAAGGAGGAAGGAAAGATGGAAGCGGGTTAGGAAGGAAGGAGAGAAGGGAAGTAGCGAGGAAGAGGACAAGAGGGAGGGAGGGAGAAATCCCCTCACAGGCCGGGGGCAGGGACGGGACAGGAAGGCGGACAGGTGGGGGGGGGGGAGGTCACGGCAAAGGCAGGTCCTCTGCGCACAGCTCCCTGGCACCAATCCAGTGCCTCGGGCCCTGGGCCGGGCTGCACACGGCTCCGGGAAAGGGGACCCCGAGGCCAATGTGCAGAGGATGTGGTTGCGGAAGATGGTGATGATGTAGGCGCTGAGTTCCTGGAACACGCAGGGACAGGGTGGCGGCTGAACGCTGGAAACTCCGGGCGTGCAGGCCAGGCCACCAGAGCCTCTGGCTTACACCTCCTCGGTGGGAGCGATCTCCAGGGGGTGACCCTTTTGGAGGGTGCGCACGGACCACAACCACCCTGGGGGACTTTCTTTGCTCTCAGCCCCGCCTGGTGCGCCCGGCGCTGCGCTCGCGCTGCGCACAGCTCGGCGCGCCGGGTCCGGGTGCAGCGGCTCCGCGGAGCGCGTGCAAGAGACGGGGCGGGGCTTTTGCACCCGGGCCGACTCCTCCGCCTATAAAGGGAGAAAGCAGGCTCCTTGGCTTCACCAAGCCTTTCTCCAGTCCTCGTGCGTCTTCGTTGCCGCTGCTGCGACCTCCACCTTCACCTCAGCTGAAATGGACCCCAACTGCTCCTGCTGCACTGGTAAGCGACCCCGACTCTGGCGTCCTTGGGGTGGAGAGGGGGGGAGCATTTTGAGGTTGAGTAGAAGTGAACTTTAGATTCTCTCCTGCTTTCTTGCTAGTTGAATCCCCAGTCTTTCCCTTGTCCCAGTAGCTGTAGTTATGTTTATCGGGTCGGGGGCTCAAGACTGTGCTCGTCAGATCCCCGACTGGTTAGTGGACTGCTTGCCTGGGACCCAGTGCTTTGTCCAGGCCTCTGAGCTGTCAGGAATTGAGGGAAGGGGGAAGAGGCCTCTTAGGTTTCTGTTACCCCAGCTCCAGTTGCCTGGACTGGTCAGGAGCCTGGTGCCTGCCTTGTGGAGTAGCAACAGGAGGTACCAACTTCCCAGCAGACAGGGAAGCTGGGGTGCCCATTAGTTAGCTGAATGGACTGGGAACTCTCAGAAAGGGGCCTGACAGGTAGATGCACTGCGGGTCTCTCAATGTGCTCACTATGCTTACTGTCTCTTTTTCTCCATGAAGGTGGCTCCTGCACCTGCGCCGGCTCCTGCACCTGCAAAGGCTGCAAATGCACCTCCTGCAAGAAGAGTGAGTGAGGGGCTTTGCTGGGACCCTGTGGCCTGGGCTGAATTGGGGAGAGAAACAGCTCAGCAGGCAGGAACTGCCCTGAGTGTGTGGTTGCTGTGACCTGCCCGTGCAGCCCTGTCCTGGGAAGGCAACAGAGCATCCCTGGCCCCCAGGAGCTGCTGTGTCCCCTTGTCTCTGATATTGAGGACTCTCCTTACCTCATTGGATGGGGGCTGTCCCTCCTGTGTCCCCAGGGGCCCTGTCACTGTGTCTCCAGGTTTTCTGGGTATCCTGGGCTCAGGTGGGGCAAGACATTCTTTTTCGGGAGGGCAGGGCCTTTGGGAAAGGTCTCAGGACAGGGCATGCACCCTCAATTCATGTCCCCCAGGGCTGGGGCACAGCTGGTGCCAGGCCTGCAGTGGGAAGAAACCAGCCCAGGTGCTTGCTGTCTGCTCTGCCTTCTCACTCTGCCCTTTCTTCCCCAGGCTGCTGCTCCTGCTGCCCCCAGGGCTGTGCCAAGTGTGCCCAGGGCTGTGTGTGCAAAGGAGCATCTGACAAGTGCAGCTGCTGTGCCTGAATTGGGGGCCCCCCGCTCCCGGATGTAAATAGAGCCACATGTACAAACCTGTGTTTTTTTTATTCCACATCTTGCCCACATTCCTTTTTCTATGAAATATGTGAATGATAATAAAAGTTGCTGATTTTATTATGTCCATGGTTTCTCTTCTATGCTCGAGAAAAAAGGGACATGATGCCTGTGAGACAGGCTGGGGAGTCACTAGGGTGCTGAGTCTGGGGATGGATAATCTTCCGCTCCTGTGATACTATGCCTTCAGGCAACACAGGTTACCCATGAGCTTGAGTTTCTCTGTAGAAAATATAAACCATCAGGATGATAGTTGCGTCCACATGCAACAAGAGATACAAGTTTCCCTTTATTCTCATAAATGGTAATGACACAAACTCCCAGTAACTCTCATTCTTTAGGGTTTCCTGCTCAACTTCAGTCCATTGTGGATATTAGACTTTGAACTTCTCGGGGGGGTGAAATCCAGGTTCCCACTTGTATGAATTGGAGACAGCTCATTTCTAAATCACTGTGTTGAAGGACCAGTTGTAATATCCCAAATCTCACACATGTAAACTTTGGTCATTATAAAGAATTAAGACCTGTATATTTGTTTACTGATGATTCATCACCATCAAGAAACCAGGGTGGGTAGCACACCTACCTTAAATAGCCCTCCCCTGATACCCCAATAGCAACCACCTGGCTTGCCCAGTGCTCTTGACTTGACACCTACTCCCCACTCCCTGTGACTTGACTCTGAATCTGCAAGCTCCTTCCTCTCTTGGGCTGACATCTGCCCTCCAAAATCCAGCCCTGGGCCTTTTGAAACCAGCAGAGTGACTAGGGATTTTGGGGGCAGGGGAGCCCAGTCATTTCTCAGCAGGAAGGAGTATGTGAGAGAACTGGTTCAGATGAAGCATTTCACCTGTCAATGCAGGGATGTGGTGGGGCCTGCAGCTTGCGTGGTAATGAGCTACTTCATGCAGGAGTGAGGCCCACGTGACCAGTCACAAATACCAAAGGATAGTTTTTCTGCACGATTTGTTGAGGGATTTGCTCCAGAGAAAGACAAGTCTCATGGGTCAGGAGTCAGGACCACCCTACCCATAGGGCGCCGTGTGAGGAGAGGAACTTAGAAGCCAGCCCTGAGCTGAGCATAGGGTTTTGGTGCCTGATAGTCCTGGTGGGGCCTTTTAACCTGGGCAAAAGTTGGGAAGTTCTCTCGACCTCCACTTGACCCTTTACAAGGATGGGTATTGTATTGTATTGCATTACGTTGCATGGTATTATATTAGATCATTACATTGCGTTACATCATATTATACTTCAATGGCCTCTCAGGAAGGAGCATATTTTTTAAAATACTTATTTTATTTATGCATACAAGAACTGGGGTACAGGCCAGAGGTACGGGGGGGGCGGTGAGAGGACCCACCAGAGACATAGTGAGGAACAGAATAGGCAGATCGATGAAACACACAAGCCAGGAGAGGTCCGCTGTGCCATGTGGGCAGCTCCCTGGCCGGGGATTGAACTCATGCGTATAGCCTCATAGGTTACATCTGAACCCCTTGTGCCACCCAGAAGGAGCATATTTCTATGTGCCAGTGACATTCTATGAAAGGTTCATTCGTGGGAAACATTATTCTTAGAAGCTGAAGATGGGATTGGATTTGCTAATATAGCGCCAGGGGGCAGTTAGGATGCCCTCTTTTCATAAACCCTTCATGCCAAGAGACTGCCAGAGGATTTGGACAGACACAAGATCCTTTCCCACTCCTTGTGTCATCTGGTCTTCACTGGAACTAGGGAGAGTTAATGTGTAGGTGCTGGAGTGAGTGCCGTCATCAGAGAGGTTAAGCTACCTGCCAACAGTCACACAGCACTGAGTGAGAGGTCTTTGCCAATACTGCAGCTCATCTCACCCTCTGCTCACACTGGATGCTGTATCCTGCCTCGATATTCAGACTATAGAGTCCTTGGGATGGCCAGTTGTGCTCCTGGCTTGAGGGATGCAGACAAAGTCCAGATTGGTGGTGGGGCTCTGCAGAAGGAGTGGATGCCAGCTAATGCTCTTCCCCCTGTTGCCTCCGTGCCAGCTTTCCCTGTGCTGGGAAGCTTTCCCTGTGCTGGGAAGTGAGGGCCAGATGCTGTAGGCAGCCTGCCTGGGTCCAAATCCACTTGTGTCACTTAGAGCTGTGTGATATAACCTCGCTGCTCAGTGCTTTCACTGTAAAAAGGGCAAAATAATAGCTTCCGGTTCCCAGGATTCAGTGAATGAATACATGCAGGGAACTTAGATTGATGCCAGGCACACTGCGAGTAGATGTAATATTAGCTCTTAGTGCATTATTACAATTTATAACACAGCAGACAGTCTTCTACTTCCAGACAAATAGGTCAGACCAGTGGGATTGTGGGGAATCTGTTGCCCTCCTCAACCATGTAAGCATGTGAGAAATTACCGAAGTCCTTCTTTAAGACAGACATGTCCCCAGAGCGGTAGGGAAGGAGCCTGCCATGTCTGTTCTCGCCTGCGCTAGTATCTCACTGGACATTTGCTTTAACTATTCACATTTTACAACTATATTCAGTGTACATGAAAGGCAAAATCTCTGTCCTCTCTGCAAATGAGAATCCATTTACTCTGACATAGAAGGTAGACACTTCATCTTATTCATTTTGTATCACTTGTGTCACAACCAGTGCTGGGAAGTGGCACCACTGATTCTATTCACTTTTGTAGGGATAGAAAGTCGTGAGGTTTCCCTTTTGACCCAAGTATGTCTTCATCATCTACAGCGTCAAGTTCACGCCTGTGCCTTGTGAGTCTGCTCCCTGGCCTAGGACTGAATTCAAGTTGCAGTGGCTGGCCATAGCCTGCCAGTGCTGTGTCTTTAACCCCTGGGTCACCAGAGAGGCCCAATAAATAAAACAATTCTTAAAAAAAATGAGACTGATTCAAACAGGGCTTGACACAGAAAGCCTGATGTCAGGACATCATCAGGGATACGGATGGGGATAAAGCTGTTCTTCTGGCTTTGTGATTTGATGCTTGGTTTGCTTGTCACCTAAAGCTGTCCCTTCCAAGGAGGGTGTCACTTCTTAAGGAAACTGTCCTGGAGTGGGGTGAATCAGGTAGACCGTGGGGAGCCCCTGGAAAATTACGCAAGGACCACTAGACAAATGTGCCTGTCCATTCCTTTTTGAGCCTGTGGAAGGAGGGGAAGGAGGCTTGTGTTTTGCTGTGTCCCGGAGCCCCTGAGGACAGGTCCAGGAGCCCACAGGGGAGGGGGAAGGGTGGAGAGAAGAAGGGGTAGAGGTGAAAGCAAGTCTGACCTCTACCCAGCGACTTGGGAAGAGACAATGGTTGCACACGGTTCCGGGCGCCGGCGACACCGAGGACAACGTGCGCGGGCGGATCGCGGTGACTCAGCGGCTGAGTTAGGTCCCTGATACGCGGGGTCACGGTGCCAGCAAAACTCAGGAAAACAGGGTAAGGGCGGGCAGGGAGACCGGAACACCGCGTGCAGTCGGCACGCTCCTCCGCAGGACGGGGCGCCAAGGGCCGGGCACGCCGTGTGCACAGAGGGCCGCCACCCCAGGGGAGGTCTGCACCCAGCCCAGGCCAGCCCGCCCGCCCCGCGGAGTCCGGGGCGGGTGCAGGCTGGGCGGGGCCTCTGCGCCCGGGCCGCCTTCTCCGCCCATGAAGCGAGCCGGCGGCTCGCAACTCCACCAACTCCCATTAGCCAAGCTCCTCTCCGTTGCCAAGGCTTAGACCCCTACCTCGCCCTGTTCGAAATGGACCCCAACTGCTCCTGCGGCGCTGGTGAGCGATGCGCGGCTCCGGGCCTCAGGGCACGCTCTTCTAGGAAAGACTGCATCCTTTCCCGGGCTGGAGGGGGAGCATTTTGAGTTTGAGTGGAAGTGATTCCCTTAAGGTGGACCACTACCTGCTTCCTAGCCGCCTTCTCCAGCTCCTTACCCTTTTGCTAATGTCTCTGTTATACTTGTGGGTGCCTAGGCTCAAGGCTGCGCACCTTGAAGTGACACCGTTCCCTGGTGGTTGTCTTGGTCTTTCTGCTGCCAGATTTGATGCAGGTGGAGACTTAGCCTGTTGGGATCCCTGAGCTGGTTCAGACTGCCTTGGCCTTCCTAGTGGAGTAAACACAGGAGGGTTCCCACCTTTCACAAGGGAAAGGAGGGAAGTTGGGGTTCCCATCAGTCTGCCTGAAGGGGACAGGAGTTGCTAGGCTGGGGCCCTGGCAGAGTTGGGCTCCAAAGCATTTCTGACACACTGCCCTGACTCCCAGACACACTCCCTGCTCATTGCCTCTTTCCTCCATGAAGGTGGCTCCTGCACCTGTGCTGGCTCCTGCACCTGCAAAGGCTGCAAATGCACCTCCCGCAAGAAGAGTGAGTGAGGGGCTTTGCTGGGACCCTGTGGCCTGGGCTGAATTGGGGTGAGACACAGCTCAGCAGGCAGGAACTGCCCTGAGTGTGTGGTTGCTGTGACCTGCCCGTGCAGCCCTGTCCTGGGAAGGCAATAGAGCATCCCTGGCCCCCGGGAGCTGCTGTGTCCTCTTGTCTCTGATATTGAGGACTTTCCTTACCTCATTGGATGGGGGCTGTCCCTCCTGTGTCCCCAGGGGCCCTGTCACTGTGTCTCCAGGTTTTTTGGGTATCCCGGGCTCAGGTGGGGCAAGACATCCTTTTTGTGGAGGGCAGGACCTTTGGGAAAGGTCTCAGGACAGGGCATGCACCCTCAATTCGGGTCCCCCAGGGCTGGGGCACAGCTGGTGCCAGGCCTGTGGTGGGAAGAAACCAGCCCAGGTGCTTGCTGTCTGCTCTGCCTTCTCACTCTGCCCTTTCTTCCCCAGGCTGCTGCTCCTGCTGCCCCCAGGGCTGTGCCAAGTGTGCCCAGGGCTGTGTGTGCAAAGGAGCATCTGACAAGTGCAGCTGCTGTGCCTGAATTGGGGGCTCCCAGCTCCCAGATGTAAATAGAGCCACGTGTACAAACCTGCGTTTTTTTTTAATTCCACATCTTGCCCACATTCCTTTTACTATGAAATATGTGAATGATAATAAAGGTTGCTGATATTATGTCTGTGGTTTCTCTTCTATGATCAGGAAATAATGGACATGATGCCCCTGGGAGTTACTGGGGTGCAGAGTCTGGGGATGGACAATGCTAGCTCCTGTGATACTATGTGACCTCAGGCAACACAAGTCACCTCTGAGCAAAAACAAAAGCATCAGCAGGACACATGGAATTCGGGAGATACAAGTTGCCTCTATTCTCATTATAAATGTTGAGAGAGTAGAAACCTTTCAATCTTTTTTCATTCTCTGGGGGAGTCTCTGTGCAGCTTGAGTCCTGGGTGGGTTCAGAGCTTCAAGGTCCCAGAGAGGATGGATCCCTCTCCCCACTTGACTGGGTCATACTCGGGTTTTTCTTCAAAGCAATGCCAAAGGACCAGTCTTTAAAGCCCTGTCATAAACGTAGACTTCTCAAAATTAAAAGACTGAATGGCTGCATTAAAGGTACACCAGAGGCCTCCCTGGTTGTGCAAGGGGTTAAGTCTCAGCACTATGAAGCTATCATCAGCCACTGCAGCACGAATTGGATCCCCAGCCAGTGAGTTGACCTACATGGCACAGCAGACCTCTCCTGTCTTGCCTGCTGCTCCCCTCAGCAGTGTGTTTCAGTCAGCCTCTCTGTTCTGTTCCCCACTTTGCCTCTGGTGAATCCTCTCACCCCTTGCACCTCTGGCCTATACCCCAGCTCTTCTATGCATAAAGAAATAAAATAAATCTTTAAAAAATAAATAAATAAAAGGTGCACCGGGCACTCACAAACCAGTAAAACAATTCAGAAGCCAGTCTCTTTGGGGGGCACACACACTCGGAGTAGTGCTGCCCCACTGTCACAACCACCATCATCATCTTGACTTGTCCATTGGGCTTGTCCTCGCTTCCCCTGAGAACTGACTTGAGTAATTTGGCTCTGAATCTGTGCAAGCTGCCCCCCAGGTCAGGCTGACATCTGCTCCCCCTTCAAAAGCCCACCTCTGGCAAATTGAAACCAGCAAAGTGACTAGAGATTTAGGGGGGAAGCAGGGATTTCTCCAGGGAGGGTTGGAGAGAACTGGTTCCTAACCAAGTGTATAGTGTGTGGGGCATGAGGTGGGAGGTGGGTGTCCTCCTGCATTGAGTCCCCAGGACAGGACAGCGTCACAGCAAACCCTTTCCCTTTTAATCTCATGGGAACCAGGGAACCAGGAACATATGGAACAGGGGTGCCTGTGCGCTTCTCCAGTGAGGTCTAACAACTGCCCAAAGGGGCAGAGCTCCTGGTCAGAGGTCTCACCAAAACTCCCTGGCCCAAGTAGGCTTTCATCATGTCCTGGGATTCTATTGTTTTATGCAATAAGAATTGGGGTGTAGGCCAGAGGTGCAGAGGATGGGAATTGGGGTGAGAGGATTCACCAGAGACTAAGCAGGGAACAGAACAGGCAGACTGACTGAAATACACTGCTGAAAGGAGCAGCAGGAGAGACAGGAGAGTTCTGCTGTGCCATGTGGGTCACCTCCCTGGCCAGGGATGGAACTCATGCTGCAGTGGTTGCGGATTTCTTCATAGTGCTGAGAAGTCCTCATTAACTTCTTGTGCCACCAGGGAGGCCCACGTCCCCGGATTCTAAATCAATGCTCAGACCTGGAAGATTGTCAGTTGTGCTCTTGGCTCAAGAGATGGAGACAGAGGCTGAGAGACTCCAGGGCTCTGAAGAGGGTGCCATGGAGCTCAGGGCTCTTCCCTTGAAGGCCTCTGTGCCAGCTCTCAGGGTCCTCACCTTTCACATTCGATGGTGCTTAGGGTGATCAGCATGGGCATGATGCCACAGGGCCCTCAAGGGGGCAAACTCACTGTCACTTCATGCCACAGCTTCTTGGTGGTCAGCCTCTTCCACTGTAAAAAGGGCAAAGTAATAGCCTCTGATGCATAGGACTCCATGAGTGAATACATGGAAGGAGCTTAGACTGATACCTGGGATGCAGTAGGTAGCTGCAATAATAGCATAGGAGACATTTTTCTCTTTCTTTTTTTTTTTAAAGATTTATTTATTTATGCATACAAGAACTGGGGTGCAAGCCAGAGGTGTGGGGGGTGAGATGATTCACCAGAGACAGAGTGAGGAGCATAACAGGTGGATCTACTGAAATACACTGCTGAGGGGAGCAGCAGGTGAGTAGGGAGAGGTCTCCTGCACCATGTGGGTAGCTCCCTGGCCAGGGATTGAACTCCTGCTGCAGTGGCTGTGGATTGCATCATGTGCTGAGACTTAACCCTTTGTGCTAGCAGAAAGGCCCATTTCTTATTTTCTAAATACATTTACTGCTCTTGAAAAACAAAGTCTCTATGCCCACTGAAAATGAGAATGTCACTTCTAGACATAGAAGGTAGACAACAAAATCATATACATATATGATTTATATATGTCATATATATCACACATATCACATATATGATACATTTATATCCCTTTTGCATCATTTTCATTCTTACCAAGTTTGAACTCGGCACAGTAGATGTTGAAGCCACGCGTGGGCAAAAGGAAGCCTTACCACTGCCTTTCTCTTCCCTTGGGAAGTAACTCGAATCAGATCCTGTGGCCCCACTTCCCAGCGCTGGGACCAGTGTTAGGTACTTAAGACCTGTGCTGTGTGGAGTTTTGTCTTTTGAGAAGGTGTTCAAAAAGGTGTTTCCATTCAGCGTTGTCATGGTTCACAGAGCAGAAGTAGTTAGAACAGGAGTTAATCCAGAGTAGATGCTATGTACTCATCAGGATTTTGGGAAGGAAATAACTGTTCTTGTTTTGTTGTTTAGTGCGTGGCTGGCCCATCGCCTAAATGATCCCTTCCTAAGGGGGCACCCCATGCTTTAGGAACCCCTCTCCTAGAGTGAGGTAGAAAGGCTAGGCTGTGGGAAGCTTCTGGAATATTTAGGCAAAGGAGCACTGGGACAAATGTGTCCACATTTCCCTTCAGGTGGGAAATAGGAAGGAAGGGAGGAGGCAGACGCCTGCCTGCCCTCACCCCCTCACTGTGCACAGCACCCGCAGTAGGATCAAGGCCGGACAGGGATAGGATCCCTAAAGAGGTGAGGGTGGAGGAGCAGGGTCCAAGACCAGTCCCGCTCACACAAATCCCTGGCATCAATCCAGGGATGTGAGCACCAGGCAGGGGGTGCACACACACGGGTTCCAGGAAAGGGGACGTGAGCGCCAGGCTGGGGCTTCCAGGAAAGACTCTGTGCAGAGACTGGGTTTTCCGGAAGGTGGTTATGACAGTGCTGAGTTACCTCCACCGCTGGGGAACACTAAACTCGTGAAGTTTGGGTAGGGGCGGTCAGGGAGATGGGGACACCCTGTCCGCATGGCACAAGGCCCTTAGCGCCAACAGGTGCCAAGGTGGCCGTGGGTGCGGTGCGCACGGTGCCGAGTCACGTCCCGTCCCGGGAACTGTGCGCACGGCCCGGGGAGGGCGTGCCAGCCGCTCTGACTCAGTCTGGCGGGTGCAACCTCAGGGGCGGGGCCTTTGCGCCCTGCGGCTGGGGCAGCCTCCTCTGGCTATAAAGTCAGCACCAGGGTCCCGAAGCTCCGCCACGCTTTGCCCCAGCCAAGCGCATCACCCTCACCACAGCCAAGAGCTCCAGTCGCACCTCGCTAGGAATGGACCCCAACTGTTCCTGCTCTACTGGTAAGCCACTTCTGGCCTTGTACCTTAGGATGCTCTTTCCCAGCACAGAGTCTCCTGGGGTGCAAGGGAGCATTTTGAGTTTGAGCTGAGGTGGACTCCTTGAGTTCCTGTGGGTCTTTCTTCCCAGCCAGTCTGAGATTATTTCCTTGCCCTCAGCTTCTCTTTTAGAGTTAAGAGGGCTGGGGTTCAAGGCTGTCCTCTTCCAGCCCCTCTGTGGGTGAATGGACTGCTGGACTGGGAACCTCTGCCCATGCCTCTGAGCTTCCAGGGTTGATGTGAGGGGGGACATGGCCTCTCAGGGCTGGGGAAATAAGGTTGTTGCTCCAGTTCCAGTCTGCCTTAGGTGCGTGTGATCCTGGCTCCTTCCTAATGGAGTGAGAACAGGAAGCACCCTCCTCCCATCAGGAAAAAGAAAGTGGGGTCCCCTCATTCTTCCCTAAGCAGGACTGGAGCTCCCAGGGCTGGACCCTGGCAAGATGGGTGCGGGGACATTTGAGGCCACCCTGCTGTATCTCATCACCCATGTCTCCCCGCCTGTCTTTCCTCCATGAAGGTGGCTCCTGCACCTGTGCCGGCTCCTGCAAATGCAAAGACTGCAAATGCACCTCCTGCAAGAAGAGTGAGTGTGGGGCTTTGTGGGGACCCTGGGGGCTGGGCTGAATCACAAGAGGGGACCTAGAGCTCAGTGGGCAGGAGCTTCGCTCTGTACCTGAACCAGAAAGAGCGATAGAGATGGTTGAGTCTCAATCTCTCATAGAATGGGGAAACTGAGGCTGAGAGAGGTCCCAAACAGTGTGTAGATTGGAGGAAGAACTAGAATGAGATCTTCTGTTCCCCCATTGCAGGCTTGTGAACCCTCCTAGTGTCTTGATGCATTTTGTGCACATGGACTTATGACCCCATGTGGTTGCTGTGACCTACCCATGCACCCCAGTCCTGGGGAGGCAGCAGACCATCCCTGACCCCCCCAGGATCTGCTGTGTCCCCTTCTCTGATATTGAGGACTTTCCTCACCTCATTGGGTGGGGGCCTGTCCCTCCTATGCTCCCGTGGGGCCCTGTCACTGTGTCTCCAGGTTTTCTGGGTGTCCTGGGCTCAGGTGGGCAAGACACCCTTTTTCTGGAGGGCAGAACCTTTGGGAAACATCTCAGGACAGGGCATGCACCTTCTATTCAGGTTCCCTGGCACAGGTGGTGCCAGGCCTGTGGTAGGAAGAAACCAGCACAGATGCTGTCTGCTCTGTCTTCTCACTCTGCCCTTTCTTCCCCAGGCTGCTGCTCCTGCTGCCCCGTGGGCTGTGCCAAGTGTGCCCAGGGCTGTGTGTGCAAAGGAGCATCTGACAAGTGCAGCTGCTGTCCCTGAAGAAGGGGCACCCAGCTCCCAGATGTAAATAGAGCCATGTGTACAAACCTGCATTTTTCAAAATTTTCATACTTCCCTGGCCTTTTGGCTCCATTTTTTCCTGTAAAATATGTGGATGATAATAAACCTTTCTAGATTATTCTGGCTCCAAGTGCCTTTATGTTGCATGCGTCGGGATGTGGGATTTGATCCTAGTTGGGCTGGGGGTGGCATGTGTTTGGGGGCATGGAATGGATTTTGGGGCACAAGGAAAAGGTAGGTGGGTGCAAGGCTTCCTGCAATGGCCTTGGCTCTTGGAGACCTATAGCAGCTTGTTTCCTCTGCCCCCTTCTAGAGATTTCTGTTCACTATTCAATATTCAATAGTCACCTATGGTGCACTACCATACACACAGGCACTGCATTCTCAGTGGTGAGGGGACATGGGGATTCCTGACTGCTGGGGAGAGACAGAATAGAGACTAGAGAAAGGAAATGGCTCTGGTCAGAATGCAGCTGGATGAGCCCAAGGGGAGACCTCTGCACAGACCTGTCAGAAGACACAGTTTGAGCAAAGGCCCAGAGGTAGGGAAGAGTGTAAGAAAATAGAAGTTCTGAGAGTGTGTGTGAGGTGTGTAGACTGTTCAGTTTGGAGGGGGGAGAGCAGAGACCACGTGCCTCATTCATCTGAAGGACCCCCCCCCAAGTCCTTACACAGTGGAAACCCTAGGAAAGGGTGAAAGAGTGTCCCCCCATTTTAGGGCCTGCATTCTGATGACTCAAGAATAAAATGGGCCAGGGAACCCATATTTTTAGCAAATACCTATTGAGGGATCACACCGAAGCATTTAGTGAAATGAAATGAGCCTCTGCCCTTTCTCCTGGGAGAAACCTTTCCACCCCAGTTGGTATACGAAGCCAAGTCCCCCAACATGTGGCTGCCTGTTCTGGGGTCCGAGGGAACTAGAGGTACCTGGTTCCTGTGTGTCTGCAGGAGGAGGCAGGCAGGTCTTACCAGGCAGGAAGCAGCAACTGTCCTCACCGAGACCAAACCAGGCGAGGGGTCTGTCTCCTTAGGGGCTCGGGGTATAGAAATACCATAGTGAGAGAGCCTGGCACAGCCTCCTGGGGTTTGCACAGGGGTGTGAGGTGGCACGCCTGGTGGCTCCGGAGGCACTGGTGCCAAGATCACCCTGGTGCCAGCGATTACTCTTTCACAACTGCATTGGGGAACCCCAGCTGCCCCACCTTGGGGACGGGCCTGACAAACACAGTCATCTAACGTACAGCCTTTTCAAAGTCAGGGGTGACCTGCTTCCCGCCCCAGCACAGAGCACCAGTCCCCCAAGCAGTGGGAGGGGCAGGACCAGCCGAGTGAGCACTCTATCACAGGCTTTTTTCCTGTTGTGTTTGAACTTGCCATGGTGGCTTCAGAGTATCTTGTTTAATTCCTGAAGTTAATACCTTGTTTAACTGATAAAGCACTTGAGTGTTTGCTCTGGAGTCAGGCTGCTGGCAAGAACTGTAGCTCCACTGCTGAGCAAGCTGTGTGGCCTTTCTGTGCCTGTACTCCTCATCTGAAAAGTGGGGACAGTGATTCTGGCTCCCCTATAGGACTGTGAGGTTAAATGTGCCAGCACAATTGATGACACTTAAGAAGTTCAGGCTCCTTCCCTCTCAGCCAGGGAGAGTATCTGACAATCAGTAGGTGATTCATAAATGCTCTCTACTTGATTCAATGAACATTTATTGGACACTTTATAAATCATGGTGTTGGGCACAGAAGGAAGATAATATATAAATAAGGTCAGTCCCTTTGTTAAAGGATTTTTTACTTAATTAAGCCTGTATTGAATTGGGGGGCATTTATTTAAAGATCCAGCTGCTGAGCTGGGTCCTAGAGCTAAGTCTGAACACTTCTGTCTTCAGAAGGGCCCCCTGCCACACTGGGCCTGGACAGGCTGAAGGGGAGACAAGCAAAGACAAATGTGTGGAAGCCAGGCTTCCCTGGTGGCACAAGGGGTTAAGCACAGCACTATGAAGCTATCTGCAAACTCTGCAGCATAAGTTTGCTTCCCCGCCAGGGAGCTACCCACATGGCACAGCAGACCTCTCCTGTCTTGCCCGCTGCTCTCCTCAGCAGTGTATTTCAGTCAGTCTGCCTGTTCTGCCCCCCATTCTGTCTCTGGTGAATCCTCTCACCCCCTGCACCTCTGGCCTTTACCCCAGTTCTTGGATGCATAAATAAATAAATCCTTTAAAAAAAAAAAAAAAGAAAAAAGGGGTGTGTGGAAGCCCTAGGTAGGATTCAGTCTGACCAGGGGGCAGGGAGAAAACCCTGTTCATTTATTCATTCATTCAGGTCCCAATGATGCCTCACTTCCCTTTGAATTCTGAAAGCAAACTCTGGATTCCTGAGGTCTCCCTTGGAGGGAAGCCACAGACATGAACTCTAGCTAAGTGAAGCAAATCAGAAATTCATCAGAAGGTGTTGCGACCTATGGATCTGATGGAAGGATGGAGAACCAGTCTCAGAAAATAGCAGGAGAAGGGCCTCCCCGGTGGCGCAGCGGTTGAGCGCTGGGTTGCGAAGCTGCCCGCAGCCTCTGCGGTGACTGTTTGATCCCCGGCTGCTCCCCGGCCACCAGAGGAGGGTCCCACATGGCGCGCAGACCTCTCCTGCCGCCCACTGCTCCCCTCAGCAGTGTACTTCGGTCCTTCTGCCTGCTCTGCTCCCCGCTCTGGCTCTGGTGAATTCTCTCACCCTCCCGCGCTTCTGACTGTACCCAGTGCATGTATAAACAAAACAAACAAACAAACAAATAAATAAATAAATAAATAAACATGCCTCTATAAAAAAAAATTAAAAAAAAAATAGCAGGAGCAGTGAGAAGGGCAAGGAACAGGCAGACTAGGCTGCTGCTGTTGTCAGGACTTTACAGGAAGGCCTGCATTGGGGAGGAGAGATAGTACAGGCAGACATCGGCTATTTCAGAATGCCCATCAGCAGGTCAGCAGTTGTGATTGAACAAGTCTGTGGCGAGCTTGGTGGGAGGAGAAACTGAGTCACAAACCTGTGTGTCCCCACGGGACACAGTCTGACCCCACCCATCACATCACCCACTGAACCACCCTTTCAGAGTGATCCTTGAGGCCGCTCCTTGTTGGCTGAAGACCCAGATCCACCTCCAATCTGACCCTGGGCAAAGTCGTAAAGTCAGAGAACCTTATCCTGGTCCCCCACAGAAACCCCCACCAAGCCAGGCTCCTTCTGAGACCATTCCTCCTCCACAGTGGCCTTTCTCCTCTGAAGACTTCTATTTAGTGGGCAGGGATATGTTGGGGTTTGTTATAAAAGGTTTTTGTCTGGAGGTTAGCAGTGGGGTCCTTGGGGAGTCAGAGATCCCTCTCCTGAGCCTCTGCTTTCACAGACTGGGTGAATCCTGAGGCCTCAAGGGCAAGGGCTGCGGGGAGGCAGGGGACCAGGTGTTGGGGATATTAAGGACTCAGGGGACTAGCCACCCTGGGGCTCCAGAGATTGTCTTGCAAAGCTGGGGGATGGGATACAGGCCCTACCACCAGCCACCCCACCGGCCATCACTGAGGTGCAGGTGTAGATAGATATGAGTAGATGCCTTGGATTCTGCTATTTCCAAGATGCCATCCCCCACACCCCTACAGCCAGGCCAAGTCAGAACCTCCCCCAGCGGATGAGTGATCTTAGGTCAGCTCAGCTAGAGGCTTTGCCAGCATCATGTGGTCCTTTAGAGAGAGAGGCCAGAGCCTCAGAGAGAAGTGACTCTGGGGGTGCATTTGAGCATTGATCAAGTTTAGCTGCCTGGTACCCACCCCTCACTTCCTTTTGGGGAATACCCTCACAGCGCCCATTATGAGGAGCTTTGGAGGGAGGGGCGAGCCAGAGGTCCAGATCCTTATTTTCCAGGGAGCCTCAGCCAATCAGATGCTACCCTTGGGAATCCATCCCTGCGCTGGCATGAATGTCAAAGGATATTGTGCGGGAGGGGAGGGATTGGGGTCAAAATAAGGGGGTTGCAATTGTATGGGGAATATAAAAATAAAATTTATTATAAAAAAAAAAAAAAGGACATTGTCACAGCTATGTGTCCCAACCAGACTCTGGGTACTGAGGCCAGGCCTGTGAATTGTCAACTGCCCTTTTCCCAAGCCTGGCCTCAAAGTCCCCACCTTTCACTCCCTCCCCCAGCCAATAACCCTTAGCTTAATTCTACTGCCAATAACTGAGGAGTCTGGAAAAGATGTTGGTGGGGTAAGGGTCCTCCTCTGGGGGTCACAGGACAACCCACTGTACCCAAGGCTGTTCTCAGCAGACCCTCAGGGCCTGAGGTTCTGAGGACAGAATATCCCCTCCCATACTGGGCCACATCCTTTCTTGCCTGGGCCTGAGAGACGCACCCATGGGTGAGGTTTGCTCTGAGCTGGTACGTGTTTTCCGCCCTTAGGGCCTTCCAGTCTCTGGTCTGGGAAACTTACTTTCCTGGCGGGGATTCAGTGGGAGCCATTTAATGAGATCTCTCATGGCCCTATGGGGTGCATGCTGCTTGGAGCCTGGGACAGATGGAAAAAACAAAGGAAAATGCCCAGAGCAAGCTCCCCCAGAAGGAAAGTGCCAAAGAGGGGAGATGTGCAATGTCCTTGGCTCCCCATTTCTCCTAGAGTATGTCCACCCCAGGGCATGTCCTCACCTCTCCTGTAGGAGGGAACAGTATAAGAAAAGACTTGGAGCTGGGACAGAGAGTCTTGCTTGATCACTTCCTAGGTAATGGAGAGCCATAGAGGGTTAAGGAGCAAGGGAACAATGTAACTGGAACTCTTCATTTATTCATTATTTGCTACATATGGTGTGCCTGTGGCAAGAACTGAGTAGCAGTGATGAATAAGACTCAGAGATCCTCAGTTCACAGCATGAGTGGGGAGTCAAATATTCAAATATTCAGGGAGATAGAAGGCAAGGTGGTAATGTAACAGGGTGGTCCCCAGGAAAAGGGGAAGTTTCAGGGTCCCTGCTTCACCCAAAGGAAGGTAGAACTGGGCAAGAAGGAGAAGCTGGAGAAGAGACAGAGGAAGGACGGAAGCAGGATGAAGAGCCAGAAGGAGCCCTGGA